TTCAGTGAAACTTGTGCTGTTGCTTCTCATCTTTTCACTGTGCACCTCTGAGAAAGAGTTTGGCTCTTTCCCCTCTGTAACCCATTAAGTGGTTGCAGACAACCACAAGGTCTTCCCTCACCCATCTCCTCCAGCCTGAACAAGCCCATTTCCCTCAGCCTTTCCCCTATATGACATGATCCAGCTTCCACCCACTCTGGTGGCCTCCACCGGACTCATTCCAGTTTCCTAATGCCTCTCATACTGGGATGCCCAACTGAGGACACAGTACCAAGGTGCAGTTTCACAGTGCCTGACAGAGGAGGACAATCTTCTCCCTTGACCTCCAAGAAGACTGTGTCACCCAGCAGTTCTGGGAGGGTCTGACACAGAGAATCCTGCCCTCGTCCTCACACAGCCCCATCCCTCGTGACCTTTTCTGGGTGGACCCACACAAGTAGCTGTCCCCTTGTTGCAGGAAGGGTCATGGCCCTCAGCACTGCGCACTTTGACACCCCCTACACTCTCTCTCCCCAGACTATGCCTTCGCATCCCCCAGCACTGGAATCGCACAGACCACCTTTGTGGGGATCATCATCTCCCGGGGATCAGCTGCCAGCATCTCCTTCATGTACTCCTACATCCTGCTTACCATGTGCCGCAACCTCATCACCGTCCTGCGGGAGACCTTCCTCAATCACTACATCCCCTTCGATGCTGCTGTGGACTTCCACCGCTGGGTTGCCATGGCAGCCCTGATTTTCTCAGGTAGGTGAGCTGCTGGGGGATGTACTGCCAAGCAGGAGGACCACCCCATCATGGCACAGCAGGACCAGGCAGAAGCTTGAAGACCTGTGTGAAACCTGCAGACATAGAGACTTTGCACAAGAGAAGAGGAGGAATTGTGGGGTCCCTGGGAGCATCAGTAGCGTCTGCTGCGTCTCCATCCACAGCAACAGTGATGCATTTCTCTCCTGGTTTCTGTCTCTTACAGTGCTCCACACTGCAGGTCACATAGTGAATGTCTACATCTTCTCAGTCACGCCTCTCAGCATCTTGTCCTGCCTCTTTCCCAGTGTCTTTGTGAATGATGGGTAGGTGCAACTTATAGCACAGTTCAGAGAGAGTGTCCCGGGCACAGACAGGAATGAAAGTGGAAGCCAGGAGTTTGGTCTGGTACAATATCTTGTCCCTCTTCAGGTCACAACTCCCACAGAAGTATTACTGGTGGTTCTTCCAGACTATTCCAGGTGAGACCACCTGCATGCCTGTGTGCAGGAAGGGCAGTCCTCTGCCCAGCCCAGGTGGAGCCTCTGTGGGGCTGCCCTGATCCTGACAGACCTCCTAACCCCTTCTCTCACAGGCATGACAGGAGTGCTGCTGCTTGTGATCCTGGCCGTGATGTATGTGTTTGCTACCCACCACTTCCGACGAGTCAGCTTCCAGGGCTTCTGGATCACCCACCACCTCTACGTGCTGCTCTATGTCCTGGTAAAGCATTTGAGATGGGAGGGAGCGTGGTGCAAATGCACTGCCAGCCTCTGGGTCAGAAATAGCTGGGGAGGTCCCACGGGAGGTGGTGGCTCCAATCCCGGCTCCCCACTGCTGCTGAGCTCTCACCAGAGCAGCCACAGAGGGATGGCTTGCCGTGCTGAGCACTGTGCTGATGAGGGCTGCTACTGCCCAGGTCATCATCCACGGCAGCTACGCACTGATCCAGCAGCCCCGCTTCTACATCTACTTCATCATCCCAGCTCTCATCTACAGTGCGGATAAACTGCTCAGCCTGAGCAGGAAGAAGGTGGAGATCAGCGTGATGAAAGCCGAGCTCCTGCCCTCAGGTACAATACCCCTGGACATGCATCACCAGCTCAGCCCAGGCTCTTTGCAAGAGCATCGGGGGCTGCAGCAATGGAGGAGCCTCCGCTGCTCAGTGTCTCCACTTTAACGAAGTCCCCATCCCCATTCATTCCCCCCAAGGTGTCACCCACCTCCAGTTCCAGCGGCCGCAGGACTTTGACTACAAGTCCGGGCAGTGGGTGCGCATTGCCTGCGTGGCCCTGGGCACCACTGAGTACCACCCCTTCACCCTGACCTCTGCACCACATGAGGACACGCTGAGCCTGCACATCCGGGCCGTGGGGCCCTGGACCACTCGCCTGCGGGAGCTCTACTCCCCAGAGAGCCTGACCCTCGTTGGCAAGCTGCCCAAGGTGAGCCCCGCACTGCTCCTCTGGGTACAGGGACCGCCAAGCCCCAGAACATCTCAGCAATGGGCTGTGCCCAGCCCGAGGTGCTTCTCCAGCCTTGAAGACAGACAGGACCTGGGCATGTGGAGGGAGGAGATGTTCTGCTGATGGCTGGCTCCCTTCCAGCTTTATCTGGATGGCCCCTTTGGGGAAGGCCACCAGGAGTGGAACAAGTTCGAGGTGTCAGTGCTGGTGGGAGGAGGCATCGGTGTGACACCCTTTGCATCCATCCTCAAGGACCTGGTCTTCAAGTCATCCATAAGCTCCAAGCTGCTGTGTAAGAAGGTAAGAGGAAGCATCTGAGAGACAAGAGCCCTCCTGAGATGCTTCCTGCTGCTGGTGGCCTCTTTGGGAGTAAAATCTATAAGCCATCTGGGAAGGAGCCCCATGGACATGGATAAGGGTGCTGGCTCCACTCTGAACTTCATCCCCATGTGCCACAGATTTACTTCATCTGGGTGACGCGCACACAGCGGCAGTTTGAGTGGCTGGCTGATATCATCCGTGAGGTGGAGGAGGCAGACAGGAATGATTTAGTCTCTGTGCACATCTACATCACACAGCTGGCTGAGAAGTTTGATCTGCGTACCACCATGCTGGTGAGCCTGGCCACCCACCAGGGAGGCTGCCATGCTGCGCTGGGCCATGCGGGGCCATCTGACATGCACTGATCTCTCTTCCAGTACATCTGCGAGCGGCACTTCCAGAAGGTGCTGAACAAGAGCCTGTTCACAGGGCTGCGCTCCATCACCCATTTTGGGCGTCCTCCCTTCATACCCTTTTTCAACTCACTGCAGGAGGTGCACCCCGAGGTCAGTGCCTGGCTGGGGACAGGAGGAGGGGCACCCACCAACCAGTGTGGGGGACTGGTCCCAGCCTGTCCTCGAGGCCCTGGAGACCTTGGTGGCATCCATACCAAGGGCAGGGCAGAAGGGGCATGAACCCCACTTTCCCTCTGGAGCCAGGATGAGCTGCAAGAGTCAGCAACACCCCACACCAGCCAAATATCCCCAGTACCGCAACACATAAGAGACAGGGAGGGAGCAGGGGAAGCTGGTACTGCTGGGTTTGACCCCTTTGGCTCCCTCCTTCCCCAGGTGCAGAAGATCGGGGTGTTCAGCTGTGGCCCACCTGGGATGACAAAGAGCGTGGAAAAGGCTTGTCAGCAACTGAACAAGAAAGACCAGACCTACTTTGCCCATCACTATGAGAATTTCTGACCCTACCCCATGCCGTTTCACCCCCGAGCTGCAGCCTTCACTGGAAGTGTGTGTGCAGCCCCAGCACCTGCACAGCAATGCTTCGGGTGGCCACAGGCCTGGGCTCCCACCACTACTGTTGGGCTGCCATGTCCCAATCCAGAAAACCCAGTGTTCGAGTTAAACTTACCTCTGCCACCTTAATCCTGCAAGACAGAGCTCGTGCTCTGCTGAGTAGCTTGGGGAATATCTCTGAAGAGCTTAGGGGAATAGCTTGGTGCATGCACAACCTGAATTCACAGCACTTTGCCCCAAGACCCGGGTGGCACGCATATGGGGGTGAGGAGCCAGAGACCGCCTCACCATCCTTTCTCCTTGGAACAAGCTCAGCTTTCCTAACACACTCATTTGTGTCTGCTTGCCTTCCCGAGGTTGCATGGGGCCTTAGTTGTGTTTGTGTTGGCTTCTTTCATCAGTGTCACCATTCTTCGGTCATGGATCATTTGTGCTTGTTTTAACTAATGCCTGGCTTTGCATTGCTGGGCTGTTGCTCTCGCAGACTGTAACTGGGTTTAAATAAAGCAGACTGAAGTTTTAAAACACTTTCTTGCCTCCTGTAGTTGGGTATCGGTTACCTGGAGACATGCAATACTCGTGGCAGAGTGCTGGCCTTGCTCCTGTTACAAAGTATTTACATCAGCCCCCAGGAAATGGGTTAAACAGGAGTGAGCTTCCCCTGTGCTGGTGAGGTGGAGGAGGCCTTGCAGATCTAAGCCCAGGCACAGCCCCTAGATTGTGTCCTACCAGACCCATCACCCCCAGCAATGCGCCCCCAGTGGCAATGTCCCCACCAAAACCTGGTGCAGGAGCAAATTTCAGCTGAGGAGACCAAAGAGGTTGAGTCGTGGGAATAGCTTCAGCCCCTGGGCTGTTACACAAGCCCCCCTGGACCACAGGGAGTAGGTGTCCATTTCCCAGTCACAGCAGGGTCCTGCAATTGCCAGCAGTCCCCCAGCCATGCCCATGGGCCTTCCCCCAGCACTGGAGCCGGGGGGCAGGAAAGCCCCAGGACTCAAAGAAGCCCCAGCTCAGCCCCACAGCTGACCGCCGAGCAGCCTTCCCCTCCCGTGGCCATTGCACACCCTTCAGCACGGTGCACTTTGGCAGTTCCTGCATGGACTCTGCTACCACCACATTTGATTACGGGGCCAGGCTCCCAGGCAGGTTTCACACTGACACATTAACAACCTGGTTTACTCTGAGCAGTACTCTGCTTTTCTTTCTGGCTATGGAAAGTTCCCCTGGGTTATATCTTAGCCCTGTAAAATACAGCACGGACTTGCAGACTTCCGCCTCTGCCAAGACTAACTTGGCCACCTCTGCAATAAATACAAGCTGAGGATTTGCAAGCAGTTAGGTTGTTTAAGGTTCCATGGTCCTGTCACCATCAAGCTCAGCTGCAGCCTGGCAAAACCCAACAGCGCAACAGCTGAGGGGTCTGCACAGTCCCCAGGGCCCAAAGTCACAGACCCCTTCAAACCACCCACCCAACACTTTAACAGACACAGACACATCAAGTAGGTGACATTTACTGAGGAAGGTTCAGTACCCAGCCCAAGAAAGGGACTGATCTCTCAGTACAAAAATTAACATGACTGTAATCAGATCAGATTTTGTTATCTTCAACCTGCTACCTCATTAGTACCTCATTCATGGCTCACAAACTCAGCAGGAAGGCCAGATATCCCCCCCAAATTACGGTTCGTTCACAGTGGCAAAACCTTTGAGTGATGCTGTCCCCTTAGTTCTCACCTGTGCTCCCATCCATGCTAAAAGCGAGCTGTGCCCCAAAACAGCAGCCCCTCCGTGGGAGTGACATAAGGACAGGGCTCCCTGCGGTCCCAGCCACAGACAGGGCTGTTTCCCTGGGAGCACATGGCAGCCTGCCCTGCGGTGCTCCTTCTGTTCCACGAGGAGCTGCTGGGGGGTCCCAGCTGGTGCCCAGACTAGCTTCTTCAGAAAAGCTCTGAGCTTTGGGTCTGCAGCGTGCTATTTGCAAAGAGCATGGAGAGAATGATCTGAATGTGTAGATGCTTCCGGTAGAGGTGGGCTGGCCAGGCTTTGTTCCACAGGCTGTTACAGTCCCCGAGCATGCCCGAGGGAAGGTGCAACTGGAGGGCCGAGTGTTTACCTAGAGCCACCCCACAGCCAGGGACTGCCACGCGGGAAGAGCTGCGGCAAACAGAGCCCTGGGGCAGTGCTGGGGCAGGAAGGTGGAGTGCCAGCATCTCCACCCTCCCCTCTCCCATGCGGCTGGCAACATCCTCCCCCAAATCCCACGGCCACGCAGGCAGCTCTGCCTGGTGTGTGCAAAGACACCCAGGCTCTTCTGCATATGAGGCCAGCGAAGAAGAGCCAGCTGTGTGAACCATCTCTAACCAAACAAACAGCAACGTTTTGATTCAACTATTCCCTATTGGTTCTCCATTTGTAGTTAATACCTGTCAATACTCTAATGGTGTATCCCTCAGTGCCACTCACCCTCATTATTGTTTGATTTTCTAGCCCTATTAGAAAGTGGTGCCTGCATAAGGTGACTGTGTAAACATGCAACAGCCATACATCAGCCTCCTGTGGCCTCATGCTTCATCTCAGGCAGGCAGTGTAAGGGGCGAGAGAGCCAGGCACCGATGCATCTCAGGGGTTGTGGTCGCTGGGGTCACACTTCAGCATGACTTTGACCCCCTCACCCCTCTTGGTGGTCTTGAACGCCTCAAGAGCCTTTTCCAGGGGGAAGCGGTGCGTAACCAAGGGCTTGACATTAATCCGCTTGGATGCGAGCAGAGCAATTGCCACAGGCCACCTGCAAGGGAAACAGAGAGCAGATGTGAGTAGTCACCAGTTCGGAGCTTCAAGGAAAGAGCACGGAGGAGCCTGGTTTCACTAGAGTCATTTCCTTAGCCAGGCAACCAAGGGGACGTTTGCCCACAATCTTCTGGAGGGGGAACCTCAAGCACCAGGCATAGGAGATGCGACAAGCCAACTGTTTTGGGCTGCCCAGCACCAAGACAGGCACTGCTACACACATCAGTTGGCTGTGCTTCACCTGCAAAAGGCTGAGTAACGATTGCAGGAAACAACTGTACTTCTGAAGCAGCAAATGAAAAACAAAACTGCCGTGCGCCATTCTACTCTCGCCCAGCCTCCCTGCCTGCAGACTGATCACTGCTGGCGTTCAAACTCACAGACTCGGTACAGGGAGAAGAAAAAGCCTCAGTCAGCTTCAAGTCTCTTTGGCAGAGACTCACTAGATTGCCTTGCTGTTCCATTTGAATGGACAAATGAGACTGATGAGGATACAAAGGAATGCAGAAGCTAATCTAAATCCCAAACTGCTACTTAAAGACACTTCTCCTTTTAAGGAGCTTGACTACATCTCATAAATCCTTCCTGGCAAACAATCTCTACAAACTAAGTGAAGTTTCTTGCTCCACTAGCAAGAAACTACAGCTCTGAGAAGAGCAAGAACCAGGCTGTAAAGGTGCAGTGCTGGATCTCAAGCCTTGTCTCCTGCCTTCAGGATAATGCCAGCTTTCAGCACACTCACAGACCTGCCTGTCCACCAGCCATGCAGTTCAGCTCTCTGGAGAGAGCACATACGCCCTCAGCCTGGTTCAAGACATATCTTCAGCTCCAGCAAAATGATGAAAACTAAACAAGGCTCTTGCTCATCCCAGCAGTCGCTGATATCCAACAAAACTGACAACGTGATTTCCTTCCATGACGAGCAAGGAGAGCAGAGCTGGGTAGAGCTTGGAATAGGATGTGGCACTTGGAATTTTGACTTTTTGCCCAGAATTAAGATTCCCCATATCCTGTGCCTCAAAATGGACAATATAGCAGTTAGGAAGGTGGATGCCAGGAGGCAGTCAGCTTTTCACAAAGCAGTGTGTCAGGTCAGGGCCCGGCCACACTGCTGCTTAGAGATCTCCCAGCACAAAGGGTGGAAGCAGCTAAAAGCTGTGTGCTCCTCCCCGCCATGCCATGAGTCAGCACACTTGTGGACAAGCCACTCTCTCCCAAAACACCCCCAGCACCTGGCCTTTCCCTTCTACAGGGCATAAGAGTTGAAGGCACAAATGTTAAATTATGATTTTTCTTTCCATTTTGGCCTGATTGCTTGCAGCAGAGTAAGGGTTTATTGTATCTCTTCCTTTCTTTGCACCAAATGCTGCATGAAATGGGACAGTGGGACAACCCAGCTGGGCTACTTTGTTGTTCTCAAGTTTGCACTGCAGGTCTCATTCAGGAGCCAAGGCATGAAACACAGGACACATGGGTCAGACTGTCTGCACTGCAGCACTGGCATTTGGAGTCACATAAGGGTTAACGAACTGTAAGGAAAACGAGACTTTTCCACATCCTCTCTCCTTGTGGAAAGCAAGTATTTCTTAAGGACAGACTTGGAGACACATCAGCCCAGGCTACACAAGACTCACGTGTTGCAGTAACGGAATATCCCCCGGATATCCACCTCCCGCACAGCGGCATTCACAATGGGCACAGTGACCATATCGGGCCCCAGCCCCACCAGCACCAAGGTCCCACCAGAACGAGTGGCCTGGAGAACAAACACATAAATACGTTCTGTTTTGCAAAATACAGTCACCAGAGCCTGTGCAGCAGTCTGTAAAAACCATAAAGCCATACTTTGTGGCTGTAATGGACGGCCCAGGGCACAGCGGAGAAGCCAGGGGAGAGGCAGGATGCTGTCAGGAGCCCATAAGTGTGAAACACACAATAAACAAGGCTTAAAAAGCAATCTTTCAAAAACCTCTGAAGGATTTTAGTATCTAAATCTCATTCTGAAAAATGGCCAGCACTTACGAGTACAAAAAGTACTTTCAGATTTCAATGAGAGAGATTTAAAACTAAGAGCCTCATGCTCCACTGGAATTTCTCTTTGTGCAGCTTGTCCCATTTGTCTTCAGTCCTTGTGAAACTCTGCACTACCTTCTGTTAAGTAGTTCATGACAGCAAAATATCCCCTCCTTAACTGTTTTCTTCACCTGCTAGAATTAATTTTCTTAATTATTCTCCTTATTTGGTCATAACTTCAACTTAATGGAAGATGCTGTCCTACTTGCACCAGCTCCCTGACACTGCTGTGTAGCCATGCTTGGGTTTTGGACTCTTACTCTAGTCTCCTGGTAAGTGGTAAAGCACCTGACCATCAAATCAGACAATTATCCCCATACTGCCTGCAAAGACGTTAACTCTTGAACTGTCTCTCTTAGTTTGTCATCTAACGAGAACCTTCTCTCCCTCACACCAAGCCCACTGAAATGAAGCACTCTGGGAGTGAAAGAGCCATCATTCACTGTGGCGTCTCAGAAACAGAAAAGCCAATGCCATCACTGCTCTACCCTGGGGACGGGTGGTACTCACATAAATGCCAGCCTGGATGCAGGCTTGCACTCCCGTACACTCCACAGTTATCTCAGGCATACAGCCAAGCAGACTTTCCACTTTGGAGGCCACCTCCTGCGGGGTCTCGTTCTTCACCTGAATGGTGAAATCTGCCCCCATCTCCTTGGCTTTTTGCAGGCGAGAGGCAGATAAATCTGGGGAAAGACGAAACGAGTCAAGAACTGGAGCATTATGTGAAACAAAAGGGGAGAAAGAACTTGAGCCTGCAATCTGCTTCCTAGCCCCACCTAACTCAACAGAGCCACCTCGTCTGGTGGCCAGGTGTCAACTTCCCAGGAGAGAAGACAACATTTGTAACATGGTAGGACAATGGGGGAAACTGCAGCCTGCTAGTACCTTCTCAGGAATGTATGTAGACCACCTAAACCAAAGGGCTTCCCACCCCTGATGCCAGTGGGCCATCATCAAGGAGTCCTGATGGAAGCACAGATGTCTGGGGTCTGAACACATGTTCACAGGGCAGAACACAACCAGTAGAGCAAAAGGTCTCTGTCCCTCATGTTCACACAGCCTTCAGAGAGGAGGCAGGGAGGAGACCGGATCACTTTTCTGGGCAGGCAGAGAAGGATGAGTGATGAGGACAACTTAAAGACACAGGAGGTGCCAAAGGCTTTCCAGCTGCAGAAGAGGGTGTGCTTCACAGAATCACAGAATCATTTGGGTTGGAAAAGACCTTGAAGCTCCTCCAGTCCAACCATGAACCTCACCCTGACCGTTCCCAACTACACCAGATCCCTCAGCGCTGGCTCAGCCCGACTCTTCAACCCTTCCAGGGATCCCGGGGACTCCCCCCCTGCCCTGGGCAGCCCATCCCAACGCCCAACAGCCCCTTCTGCAAAGAAATCTTTCCTCAGAGCCAGCCTGACCCTGACCTGGGCAGCTTGAGGCCATTCCCTCTGGGCCTGGCTCTGGGTCCTTAGCTCCAGAGACTCATCCCCCCTCTCTGCACCCTCCTGTCAGGGAGTTGCAGAGGGCCAGGAGGTCTCCCCTCAGCCTCCTCTTCTCCAGACTGAACCCCCCAGTTCCCTCAGCCGCTCCCCAGCAGACCTGTGCTCCAGACCCTGCCCCAGCTCCGTTGCCCTTCTCTGGCCACGCTCGAGTCATTCAATGGCCTTTTTGGGGTGAGGGGCCCAAAACTGAACACAGGAATGGAGGTGCGGCCTCACCAGTGCTGAGCACAAGGCTCAGATCCCTTCCCTGTCCATGCTGGCCACGCTATTGCTGACACAAGCCAGGATGCCATTGGCCTTCTTGGCCACCTGAGCACACTGCTGGCTCCTGTTCAGCCGGCTGGCAATCAACACCCCCAGGTCCCTCTCTGACTGGCAGCTCTCCAGCCACTCCTCCCCAAGCCTGTAGCGCTGCTGGGGGTTGTTGTGGCCCAAGTGCAGCCCTGGGCATTTGGCCTTATTGAAACTCCCCCAGTTGGCCTCAGCCCATCGCTCCAGCCTGGCCAGGTCTCTCCGTAAGTCTCTCGAAGAGCTTAAAAGCATAAACTCACAGCTGAAATCCACACCATGCAAAGCAATGTCTGAGTGAAGGAACAGCTGCCACTACTAGACTCAAGAGGTGTCTTCTAATACCATCAGTCTGTAGATCTCTCGGTTTCTCTTTGGTACTGCAGGAATACTAAGAGCATGCCAAGACAAACTAGAAGGTCAAGCTTAACACAAAGGGCACATCGATGCTACAGTCAGGAACCTGAGCAGGAACAGCCATGGCCCAGCACTGGTGCGCTGCTGTCCCATCGCTGCAGAGCAGAGGAACCTCAGTGCAGGCAAAGACAAAAGGCAGCAGGAGGGCAGGACAGACAGAACAGTGCTGAGCTACAGCACTGTTTGAACAGCACCATTGTGTCTTACCAAAGCTGCCACTAAGCCTGCACTACCCAGTGTCTCTCTGGCAATGACTCTTTCATGAAGCAGCTTCACCAACTAATGCAGGACCGTAATCCAGTAGTGAAAACAGACTGTAAAAAAACACGTTATACACACACTCAGCAAGTTAACCTAGGGATGGGCCTATAATGAGGCAAAAAAGCACCACTCGCTTTTGCATTTTCCTTCTGTGGCTCTCAAGATTAGTTCCTATTGCTCACACCCTCAAGGATACCTCTCAAAGGGCACTAGGCAGAGGCAAGGTTGCTCTGACCTTGTTCCCTGATGGCTCAAAAATCACGTGGCTATGGACAGCACGGCACCAAGAAGTCTTTCTGACAGGAGACATCAGGCTCAGAGGATCATTAAAGCGGCCAACTGACTTCTAATAATACCAGATGAGAGCAGATCATGAGCTCTCTGAGGGCTTCCTCAGTGAACCCCAGCAGACTTTTTCAGCTGAGTGAACTGCAGAATGCATTAGTTGTCAACACTTAGTGCGTCCCTGCTGTTACAGACCTCTCCCATCCTTTTACCCTCCTTGTAACAGCACTTGGAGGCTGTTGAGCATCTCTCAAGCAATTTCTTCACAGATGAATAAGCAAGCAAGCCCATAAAAAAAAGGGGAGTGGATCTAGGAATATGGTGGATCTCAGATACTCCATTAACAGAGCAACAAAGCTGGTGATCATAAATGTCTGCGAGGGCATGGCTGTAATCTGGTACTCTGTCCAGAGGGATCATGGAATTCTAGAATGGTTTGGGTTGGAAGAGACCTTGGAAGAGATCATTCAATTCCAGCCCCCCTGCCATGGGCAGGGACATCTTCCACTAGCCCAGGTTGCTCAAAGCTCCGTCCAACCTGGCCAACACTTTCCAAGGATGGGGTAGCCACGGCTTCTCTGGGCAACTTGTGCCAGTGTCTCATCACCCTCACAGTAAAGAATTTCTTCCTTATATCTAACCTAGATCTACCCTCTTTCAGTTTAAAACCGTTGCCCCTCATCCCTCATAGACTCCCTGATCAAGAGTCCCTCCCACCTTTCCTGTAGCCCCTTTAGGTCCTGGGAGGCTGCTCTAAGATCTCCCTGGAGTCTTCTCCAGCTGAATCGCCCCAACTCTCTCAGCCTGTCCCCATAAGGGAGGTGCTCCAGCCCCCCGATTGTCTTCATGGCCTCCTTTGGACTTCCTCGAGTAGGTCTGCCTCCTTTTGCTGGGGCCCCTTGAGCTGGACCCAGCACTGCAGGGGGGGTCTCATGAGAGCAGAGTAGAGGGGGAGAATCCCCTCCCTGTACCTGCTGGCCATGCTTCTCTTGATGCAGCCCAGGACACAATTGGCTTTCTGGGCTGCGAGCACACACTGCTGACACATACTCAGTTTTCCATCTACTAATATCCCAGAGTCCTTCTCCTTTAGGCTGCTCTCAATCCACTCATCACCCAGCCTGAATTTGTGTTTGGGATCACCCCAACTGATGTGCACTTGGCCTTGCTGAACTTCATGAGGTTTGCATGGGCCCACCTCTTGACAGCACTGTAAATACCTTCTGAAGATCCATAAAATGGTTTGTGCCATGGTGTGAGCTGCCCTGGCAGGTAGCCACACTGTCTCTTCTCTTCCACGTCTCCTGGAAAGAAGCCACCCATCCTTCTCCAGGCACCACTGGTGACCAGGACATACCTGGAGGTAAGGAGGTGGACAGCAGAGAAGAGTGGCATTTCCCAGGAAGAAACAACCTCTTTGCCTTACACTGGTCTACAGGGGCCTGTGTGCTGGCACTGGAAAAGACATCTGGACCAAAGGTGGAAACTGAGCTGTAACCAAGGTTTCCTAGAGCCAAAACTGAGGGGTGAGCAATGTCACCTGCTAGAGGGCCTAGGCTTAAAGACTTAGAAAATGATGCCTTTGCCAGGGGCATGCTCCTCTCCAGGACACACAGCGCACCCATCCGCCACAAAGAGGGAAATACCCCTCTCACCAGCGCACTGTCTTCAGAGAAGTCAGAGATGGGGGTGGGGGAAAATATCAAGGGAAAAGAGAAAGAGGCCAGTGCTCCGACACGAGCTGTTCTGATTCAGTCCCAGCGCTGGGAGGAAGCCAGGCCAGAGAAGCTACCCTGCCCGTCACACAGCAAATGTGACATTATCTACTGCCAGGGCAGTGATGGATGTGCCCCCACCAGCAGCGGGAGGGCTTGGGATGCCAAGTGCAGGCACACACACCAAGGTGAGCACCCAGGAGACCTGTGCATGGAGTTTCAGTAAGGGATAACAAAGGGTAGTAAAATGCAGATGAAGGAGGAAAAGCCAAGGCTTAAAAGTAAGGGCAGCACCACCCTCAAGCCTCGATGTGGGCTCTTGTTCCTGTGGCGTTAGTTGTGTCTCTCCCTCCCCAGCTCTCAGCATTGGGCCTCAGGCTGCGTGTAGTCGTGCTTGACCCTCTGCTAGCTGAGCTGCACTCAGAGACCTCCCATGAAGCAAGAGCATGGGCATGTGCATTTCTGAGGCACCTGAAGTGCTAAGGAACACTCCTGCCTGGCATGGCTGATGTCTCTCAAATCTCAATGTACAGCAAGGAGACCACAGAGGCTCAACAGTGCTCCCAGCAATGGACCAAACTCTCCATGAAGTTTAGTCTCAAAACACCAGCTAGCAGTAGCCACAGTGGATTCAGCCATTTATAGTCCCTGCCCAGTCACCAACACATTTCATACTGTCTCTTTGGCAGAAATGCACCCAGAGGCAGTGTCCTGGAGTAACAGGCCCTGCCAGCCAGTGCATTTCAAAGCTGCCATAAAAATCACTCTCAGGCAGCAAAAAACCCTTTCCTATAGTTGGCCTCTGGCTTGCTGAACTGCTCGGGAAGGAAGCCCTTGTGTCAGAGGCAGGATGCAGCAGCAATACGTCAGACTGGGTCAGGGCTGTGATAAGCTGGCCTAGGTGAATCACTGCTAAACACTTGCTGACAGACCTGCAGGTTATCAAATGAGAAAGTTACAGTATTGTTTAGGCTCCAGAAACTTGTGAGTCTTGAGAAGGACCAAGTCGTTTGGATTTTAAACCTTACTGTGGCTGAAACCCACACAACTCTTGGAAAACTGGTCAATTATACAATTAAAGGGTTGCAGCTTGCCTCTAGTCAGAAACTTGTTTTCACTTCCCAGCCACTGGAGCTAATTAAAATTGTGGCTGCCAGACTAAGGGTAGCCCATTCTCATATCTCTGCTCCCACGGAAGTTATCAAATTACACTTAAGCTTCTCATAATGCTTTATGAGCCAACTTAACAGGCAAATATTCTTGAAGCTCTCACACTTTCTATCTTGATCTTCTTTCACAAAGGAGTTGAACTCTGTCCAGTTATTCACCTTCCCTGACCTTGACTTCCAGAATTTCTGGAGGCACTGGTACCCAGGACTTCAGATTTATACAGCACAAGGGGAATGGTTTTACTTAAGCAGGAATTCCTAAGTGCACCTTTAGTGACAGACAGAGTAAGGCAGACAGCCATATGAATACCCAGACTGTCACTTCACTTGCTGGGGAATAAGGCTGCTTTTTCACATGCCTCTGAGGAGAAAAGCAGCTTTTCAGAGCAACAGCAATGTTGGCAGCAAGGCAGAAGGACAGGAGAAGGTTGCCCATAAATATCAATCACACCCACTCAACAGCAGAGCGGAGAAAGCCACAGACATTAGGAAGAGTAGGTGAGGACCCACAAACCAAACTGATCTGCTGCACCCAACTGCAGTCCATTAAATATATCAACCCCTGCCCCCACAAGGGAGAACACTAGTCTGCCAGGAACAAAGCAATTCAGGGAGAAGAGCAAAGGTTATAAGAAGCACTAATACCTTTTATCAGGCAAGCTGCTGTATCTGGGAGGAAAGGCAAGCTTTGGCACACACAGGCCTTTGGAAGGGCAGGGCTGAGCGTTAGTCTCTAGCTACAGTGCCAGCTGCTTGCTGCCCAGGAGTCCCAGGGAAGGGACCCAATCCCTTGGCAGAGGTGTAACTTCCCAAAATTCTTTGACTCCAGGTGTGCCAAAGACACTCACTGCAGAAGCTGTAGGAGGTGAGCTCTCCCCAGGTCAGGAAAAAGCTCTTCTAGATGTTTCTATATTTGTGTGCAGCTTGTCAAAACAAACATAAACATTTAAAGCCTTAAGTGCTGAACAGACAAAGCCCTTCACAGAAAAACACATCATAAAAACTCCAGGCAATGGATTCAAAGAAGCTGGTAGCAAAGTACAAGAGGGCCTTTGTGGGCAGACAGTTGCCTCATAGGTGATGGTTCCTAAAGTCTATACAAAAAGCAGTTCCTTGAGAAGGGCAGCAAAATCCCCAGCGGCAACAAGCCAAACTAAATCCATTCCTCAGCTCATGTCATGTACAAATACTCAACTAGAGACAGCACCTCCATGGGTGCTCTGAGCATCTCAGCCAAACACCTTTAAGGTGGGAGATGTCTACAAGTCAGGATCATTACCTAGGTCAAGATGTAAAGATAAGAAGGGGTTAATTCCATGTAGCCAAGTTTGCTGACCCTACAATCGAGGTACCAAGAACTTCCTATGGCCACCTGGAGCCCTGTGCCACATGCTACACAGACCTACTTGCCAGAGGTCCCCAGGAACAGTCTACAGGCAAAGGCGACATCAGCTCCCAGTGTTACTGGGAAGAATGCACCCAGGCAGGACTGGGGATGGGGTGGCAGGCTGAACCAGCTGCCCCAGCCCCACCAACCCCTGCCAGCTCACCAAGCCCTTCCCCACCCAAGGACCTGGTCACCCACCAGCCCCTGCACCAGCTCAGCCCAGCAGCAAGGTTCCTCATACGTGATTCAAGAGGCAGAGCTGCTCTTCCTGCTACAGCAAACATCATCCTCAGATGACAACACTGCAAAATCTGAGGCCCGGACTGATCATGTTCACCAAGCACACACCTGCAGGGTGGGGTCAGCAGAACAAAAAATGCCCTGGACTTGGCAGCAAGTGGATTTAGGGAGGAGAAGGCAAGAATCTGCCTGTGGTTTTGACATGAGCTACTACTAAAGGATGCTTCCCCAAAGGCAAGAGGGTGGGACCTGAATTTTGTCTCTCAGACTGAAAAAGGAAACACGGTAATCAGAGAGGTCAAAACCACACCTGGCCTGAAGTGTGGGTGGTGGTGTAACAGCCTTCTGAAAGGTCCAGTTTTGGACCTTGGCCCAAAACCACTGCAGCAACCTGTGTTCGTCGTCTAGTTGTACCTGTAACTGCTCCTCCCAGTCATCACCACTCAGAAGGATCAAAGAGTAGCAGCAGAAGCTGGAAATGCCACTTCCAGGCTCTGTTCAAACCCCAGGTGGAAATTTCAACCAGTGAACCAATCCTGAGGTTACTCCAGCTCTCCGTTCTATGTGTAGCAAGCTGTGGGCAGTTATGTAAGGAAGGCCCATTTCCAAAATACAGGGACCCTGAAAAGGCCATTTCAGTCACTGTGGATAATCAGTGGAAAATTAACCCCCCAGCAGAAAGAAGGGCAGCAAAGGACTGGAGAGGCACAATGTGGCTGCATCCAGAAAAGACTGTGCAACCACTGTGTCCAGGACACCACCTAGCACTACAGGAGGAAGGAAAAAAGCCTGCTCGGAGCAAACCTCCAAGAATAGCTCCAAAGAGGGTAAAAAACATGCCATGTTGCCTGGTCTGCATGCCTAGGTGAGGATGAGAAGCAGATATCAAGGTCTCTAAGCACTACAGGGAAGATGAAACCTGATCCTCAAGGCTTGATCTATGAGCCAATGGCAAAACACAAAGCTGAGGCCAGAAGAGCTCAAAATGAAAAAAAAAACAAAAACCCAAACCCAAAAAAAACAGTGATCTGAGGCACCAGGAGCAAGTGGAGCTTCTGCATCTCAGTGCTTTGTCATACAGATACATCGCCCCTTCCCAAAAGACCTGTTCAAGGTCTGAAAAAGGTCTCTAGGCTTGATCCAAGGACCACTCATTAGCCTCTGGTTTATTATCTTCAAAGCTACTCCACCTGCACAACTTGGCTGTGCTAGGAAGCAGAAGTCACTACCCTGGTCTGCTAACCTAGCAGAGAAGCACCAGTTGCAACCTGCATCTTCTTATAGATCCCCAAAAATGCAGAAATCGAGTCTTGTCTTGGGGAATGAGGTGTTTATTAGGATTCCCTCCAGACAGGCACACATTCCTACTCCACTCATGAACAGACTTTCCATTGTGCTTGGGCTGCCTTCCCCAACAGGTACCTTGAAGGAATAATCTGGAACTAGTCAAATTGTTGTATCATGGAAAATAGGCACACTCTTAAGGGTTAAAAGGACTCACCTGTAATTACCACAGCTGCTGCACCCATCATCTTAGCAACAAGCACATTAACAAGGCCAATTGGTCCTGGGTACAAAGGGGAGAAAGAGAATATATGCAACTGCCAGACAGCATCAGCCACAGGGTCTGAGCATGCCCAGAGCTCAGCTTTAGCTCCTAGGCTAAAGGAGGCTCTGACTGAATTTCCAGGGGGGCAGCTCTGGGATCATGGCATAACCATGATCCCAGGGTAGTGAGAGCAGCTACTGCTACATGAGGGGCTCTGCAAGAACACCCTCAGCTCTGCTCCCTCAAGCAGACAGGCTCAGCATGCCCAGACACCACACTGGGCATTTGGGCTGCTCCAAACGCAGCACCGTAGTGCAGCATGGGCAAGGCCAGCCTCAAGCTCCCCCTTGACATCCCTGAAACTCTGCCACAACCTATGCTTACAGCAGAGCCTAGAAGCACAGCTTGCACCCTGCCCAGCCCCCTCCATGCCACTGCAGGCAGGGAACCCAAGGACTGAGTATGTTCACTGTACCAGAGCCAGACACAAAGACTTTGCTTCCCAGAGTGACTCCCGCTCTTTTGCAGGCATGGATTCCCACAGAAAGGGGCTCGATAAGGGCTCCTTCTTCAAAGGTGACATTATCTGGAAGCCTGAAAGAAACAGACACAAGCAACAGTCACCAAAGAGGTTTATGAGGGTGATGAGGAAATCCACGACACTTGAAGACCAAACATGGGTCTAAATCACAGTGGCAAAATATACTCTCACCCTTGGTCTCAGAAATGCAGGGCTGGAACCCATTTCAAGAGGTTATACTGCCTCTTTCCCTCCTCTAAAGCAGCATCAAGTGCTCCTATCAGTGAGGCTTGCCCAAGCACCAAACACAGGGACCCACAAAACTCCCCATATCATCTCTCCAGTACTTGGTGAGTCAACCTGAAAATTCACTTTGCCACTCCTTCCCTTCGGAATGAACCCCACAGCTGTGTATGCATCACTGTGAAAGCTGCCCTATGGCTGAGACCCACCCCTGAGCTTCCAGACCCCTCATCTAGGTTGAATCATTCAGCTCCACGTTTTACAAAACATCTTGCTGCCAATGGTGATGCCACATAAAGCAAAAGCAGCCAGATCCAGGCCTCCCCATCACGCCCTGGATGTCCTCCCCTGATGCACCAAGTGTTTGCACCAGTGGTCCCAGCACGCACCCTCCTAGTAGTCAGGGAAAATGTGTTCCGTGGGTATCAAACACCTTTTGGGCAGAAACAGCACAGTAATGCAGCTAGAATAAGTGATGGAAAAAAGCAGAGGGGGGTGAAACCCTTCTGAACTACTGACAGAAATAAATCTCAGCCCCACAATACAGCCCTCCAGAAAACCACCAGTGTGGGCTCTCACACAGAGGGTGCTGGGAGCTGTGTCTGCAGGGAAGGTCTTTCTGACAGCCCTGGGAAGCACACGGTCAGATCTCAGCCAAGCCAACACAAAGCCAAAGTAATGGAAATGACACTTGTGGGAAGACAGCAGCAAGATATCTGTATGTCCCTTAACTGCAGGAGGCATTAAAAGGCTGACTCCGGGAGTTCAGTTGTCTCAGAGTCTGGCATCACATTTGCTCCTACTGGGTCTGGGCACTGCCCCCATCAATGGGGAGGGCAGCTCTGCAGCACGATCCACCTCCATCAAATTACACAGAGCCTGCTTGCCAGCAGAAGGACAGACAATATCTGCCCAAACATGCGAGAGCCCAATAAGCTCAGCCATCATCTTTTTTTTTAGCAAATCTGTGCTGGCAGAGCAACTTCATGTCAGGGAATGTGCTCTGCATCAGGTGGCCACAGCATTGCTGATTTGAAACTGAGAGCAGGCTTTGCACTTCAAAGCTTTAAATAAAAAAACAAAACAAAACAAAACGTAGCCAAAGTATTATTTACTCAAATTGGAGAAAAAAGCAAAACCCTGGAAGAAGACAGCTACAAACCAGTGACTTCCTCCCATGCAAAAACTTGTGATGTTGTCAGAAAACGTTATTTTAACACACAGAAAATCAGTGACAGTGGGTCTGGACAGTGAGAAATTAGTCCCATCCAGACCAGCATTTCATCCTGACAGCAGCTGCTTGGGATCTGTTTTGAAAGAAGCTTCCTGCCTGAGGACTCTCATGAGAAGAGCATTTAAGTGCCTCCTTCCGACTGATGTGATCTTGAACATTTCCTCTGCAGACACCAAAGGTCAAGCCCAAGGACATTCCTGCTCATGGCAGTACCAGCTCCATACAGACTGAGAAAGAACAAGCTCCACAGATAGACCAATCTCAGAGGGCCCCTACCTTGGACTATTTTTAAGTCTTTGTATAAATGCACATATGTGGGTATAACTTGCAGAGGTTTATTTGGGTTTCTAGCGTATTTGCCACAGTACTTAAGCACAGACTTGCTTTTAAATGTGTCAGTCCTGCCACAATTAAGAACACACTCAAGTTTGCTAACTGGCTATGAAAACAGATGTGTAATGCTGGCAGATTAGTGGGGCCAGAGTCACACAAAAAAGCAGTTTAGCAGGGACACTGCTTTCTGTTCCTGTTCTACTCTAAGTAGGATGATTTTGTTTTAAATGACAGAGTAAGGTGTCAGCAGCAATGTGGTGTTTCCTGAAAATCAGAAATAAAGCAAGCTCAGCTCCAAGAATCAAAGACATTCAGGCACTGTCCTAAGAATGCAAGGATATAAAAAGACAGCAGAAAAGAAGCCAAGAGCAGGAAGCAAACGGGAAAAGGAAAATATTTAAAGGGTAAAACAGTGGTGACAGCCCAGGAAACATGCAAGAAATATTTATTTATGTCTGGCACCAGAGGTGCTAAACTACACCTGCCTGACAAACCCTTTGCAAAGTGGCTGCCATCCAAGCCTTATGCATGTTATTTATGGATCAAAACGCAATAAAACCTGTTGTGTTCAAGTAAAGAGTGCTCACCGGAATACTCAAAAGGGCCAAGAGGCAATTGCTTCAGCTAATCCCCCCCCCAGGGAGTATGTATTTGTCTGCAAAGGAAGCACCGACTAACTTGTAGCAGTAGCTGGCACTGTGCTTGTAGTAGCGGCACAAGTTCCCATTATCGGGAGGTGTCGCACAGAAGAAGATGGTTGGAGACAGGTTATAGCGGCCAGTTTTACAGAACTCATCCATTTCTCTTGGGACGCCAGGCTCGATGGCCACTCGATCACCTGCCAGGGTGAAAGCAGACTGGGTTACTCAGGAAGCAGGTGGGCACACAGGTACAAGTAGCACCAAACAACCATGGAAGACAGCATGAAAGCCTGGCACAAGAGAAGCATGAGGGACATCTGCTAACTGAGAAAGATCACGCTGCACACACCAGGCAAGCTCTTAACACTTCCTTTGCAGCAGCCTCAGCACCAAGAGATTCACAGTTACGTGAAAAGAGCTGGTGCTTCAGAGGTACAGACAGGGAGCAGATAAGCTCAGTCACATATAAACCTCTCTCCAGCTGCCTTGCACTCAACCTTATCAGATAAAAAGGCAGCCCTCACCCCAGGCAGTCACACAGTGACCAGACTTTTTTCCTGTAGTATCTGCAGTAATAGGAAGAGGAAATAATTAGGACAAAGCAGGTGAGCTCTGCTGGCCACCACACTGTCAGCTGGCAAGGGCTGTTCCTTGGGAAGGAAGCTTATGGTGCAGAAGCACACTCAGGAGTCAGGCAGGAATTATCAGGGAACACAGACATTTTGATGCTGTGATGGAGTAGCTTAGACTGCTGGAAGAACACATGCTGCAAGACAAAGAGTAATTATTTAACTGCAATCACAAGGCAGGATGGACTGAAATAAATGACCACAATACAACTTGCAAGTACGCAAGGGATACAAGACAACCCATTTTATTTGGCAAAGGAAGCCAATCAAAGCCAAATCTCTCAGCAGAACTCTCCACCAACAGGCTTTCAGTCAGACATGGTGACAAGCAGGAGGATGGACTGCAATAAATAGCCATCTAGCCCACTGCACCGCCTCTGATATGGCCAACGAGGGACATCTGGGGGTGAGAGGAGCACATAATGAATGTTCTCCCAGCCTCCCATTACATTCAGCTGTGGGGCCTCCCAAGCTGCATGTGGTTTCTTTGCATTCAGTAATCCTCAACAATTTCTCCTCTACCTTCCACCATATAAACTTTTAGTACCCACATCATCCTTGCAAAGGAGGCCTGCAGGTCTGCTACAACTTAGGTGAGTGCTGCACTTGGCTGCCACTGTCCCTTGCTCTTGTATTGGAGGAACCAGAGAAGAGACAACCTTTATGTGCCCTCCCCCTGCCCTCCACAAGCCTTCAGACCTGTGTCACATGTCCTGGAGTTGTCTCTCCAGCTCCTAGCTCAAGTTTCTTAGTCATTCATCATAGAGATACCACTCCCCATCTCATCATCTCCTTGTCCTCTGAAACTTATTCACTTCTTTTATATCCCTTTGGAATGGAAGAGACCAGAACTGCATTGCAGAGCTCCAGATGTGCACTGATGTCCTCTGACTGAGTGTCTGTCCCTTTCGTAACACCATTTTTCACCATTACTTGAGCCAACATTCCCATGAACTGTGTCAGAGCCAAAGGTCTCACTCTTCAGCAGTGATGGTCAGCCCATCATATTAGATATGAAGCTGGGTTTGTTTCTTCTGTCGTGGACATCACTTTATGTTTATCTGTACTGAATTTCACCTGCATCTTATTGCCCAGGCACCCTTAAGGTCTCTCTGTAACTCTTGTTAGCTCTCCCATGTCCTCTCCACCCTGCCTAAGTTGCTATCATCAGCAAACTTTGCAAATTTCACCACTTGGCGCATTTTCTAGGACATTCATGAGCACAGCAAACTGTAGAGGTCACACCATGAGGTCTGGTACAGCTGGTCCAATGACCTCTTTCCACTGCGAGAGGCCATTTACTCCTTCAAGAATACACATAGCAAAGAAACATTAACAGCAGGTTGCTGGCAAGACCAACATACGTGGTTTCTGAAACTTTATCTAGCGTCTTCAAAAGGCACCTCGTACAAGCATACACTGCTCTGCATTAAAATAAAGTCAGAGCAGCTGAAGATATTCCAGGATAAAGCATGCCTAAGAAATACCATAAACTACAGTGGCCAAGCTGGGTCATTAACAGCAGCACACTTCTGAAGTAGGTGGTCACACTGTGCAATTCACAACTCAGAACACCAGATAGATTTACCTAACAAAAAACCAGCCTGTTATCAACACACTCTCAGGAACTGCCTAGCAGGAAAACAAATAAAAAGAGAGTTTTGATTCCAATTACCTGGTTTCAGATGAGTCACCCCTGATCCCACTTTGACAACAGTCCCAGAAGCTTCATGTCCCAACACCATGGGGTCCTTCACGACAAAATCCCCAATTCGACCATGCTGCCAGTAGTGAACGTCAGACCCACAGATTCCAACAGAATGCATCCGCAGGAGGACCTCTGCCAGAAAAGGACAAAAGGTTCCTTGTAGAAAAATGTATCTTCTTGGGCACTGGGAGAGCAATATGAGTCACCCCACAACAAAGGCCAAGCAGCATTGAAACATCCCAATTTTCTAGCATAAAATAAATGTACTAGAACTGCACATGCTTACATTAGGATGGATGGCATATTTGTGAGACATCTGCTGAAATACAAAACTATACAAGGATTTATAAATCAGGAAAGCTTAAAATATGGTAAGACCCCTGTCAACAAAAGCTAATACAGTCTAAAAGGGACATGACTATTACTCTATTACTATAAAATAGCAAGTCCATTTAATTTTTCCTTCTCCCTCAGCTACATTTTCAGCCCTGGAGAATTAGTGTATCAAATTTCTATCAGACCATATGCCTAGCCTATTAATACTTAGACATGCAATAGGATCACCTGACATGCCCCAAGAGCTGTTTAATGTGAAACATGAGCTGATGAAACAGGAATCAAAAAAAGTCAGATGAAGGAGCGCATCTGTAACTGCTCCAGCTCTTCAAGTGGAAATGCAGCATTCTGTTTCAGCCACAAATTCTTTTTTTGATTGTTTTATACTTTCTCAGAAATATTTTATCTCTTTACAATATCAAGGAGCTACAAAAGAGAATGAGAAAAGAAAGGTTAGTAAAGAAAGCAGACAGAAGTAGTCATCTCTAGACCTACCATTGGGACCTGGTTCTGGGACTGGACGGTTTTCCTATGGACAAAAAGACAAAAAAAGACATTCAGCTGCTTGTACATAGCCATGGGAATACGTTGTAGAAAGTCAGCCTAGGTTAGCTCAGGTAAACCTGTAAGCAGATCAGGTTTTTGGTTCTGTCTGCTCAATAAGACATTGCTGAGCAATGAGGAGGGATATAAATGTGCAGCCCACACTTCCTCCCTAAGATCACCTCATTTTGCCTCCACAGTGCAGTAATGTGGGCATCCGTTACGAGTGAGCACACAGCCAGCTTGTAAATACGCTCCCCAAATTATTTTGCAGTAATTTCCCCCTCCCTGCCCAGACAAGAGCCACATACTAAACTTTCCTGCCCTGGAATGGCCTCAAGTTTCAGCTGAATTCTTCATTCCACTCACTGACTGACAAAAAAATTCACCTTCTGTAACCAGGAAGATTCTGAATCACCTATTTCTATAAACCATTAATATTGTAGCATTTATTATTATTAAAAAAATATTTTTACTACATAATAATAACTCAAGGTATAAATAAATTGTAAACATTACTGTAAATCACATTTAAAGTCACATCCCTTTGTAACTGGCACAGCACCTCATTATGGGATGAATGATAAAACCAGAATTATAAAAGCAGTCACTTGGCCCCAAGTCACCCTTCCACCCAAAAGTTCTGCAGGACTTTTGCCTTCACTGAACTCCCTCAGCTGCCTCAAGAGAAAGGAGTAATTTTGCTGGGTTTTACAACATCAAGACAGCACAATACCCACCTAGCCCCACCTCTAGTATCATGTCTCTAAGAAAAGCCACATGAAAGTAGTTAGTGCTAACAATGAATTCTTCATAATCCATCTGCTGCTCAAATTTGCATGTATCTTAGACCCCTTTACCCACACCCCAAAATTGGGCATAAGACCTTTCAGCAGACCTCCTATTCACAGTTCCTTTTCAAAAATTTGGTGCATATACGTTAGCAATCCCACAGTTGGTTATTTCTCCTTGCAAGAGCGTCTTCAGTTAGCATGAAAATTGATCTCTGGATCTGAGAGATGAGCAGCTGTTTTATAGCAGTCCTCCACATAATGAGCTTCACCAGTTAAAGCTGCTGTGTAGCAACAAACATGAGATTTTCTACTGCACTGTTGCAGAGAAAGAGGGGTATCCCTTCCTGCTTTTGCGGAGCACTGTTGTGTGTTTTAGCTAATTAAAACACATCCTCAATCCCAGCATATTCTTCACCAATCTAAACATCACAAAAAAAGAAATTCTGGAAACAAATTCTCAGTGCTGGTCTGTTAAAATACCTGCTGAATAATCAGTGCTGTAATCGGGCAAATTCTGTTGGCTGGAATGCAAATCAAAGTACAACTCAAACTGTACTCAAAAAGTACTGGAATTTTCAGTCTTCAGAACTGTATCTGCATTTTCTCTACGTGGAGTGTTTGTTTCATCCCACTAAGGACACTTTAAAAGTAATGCTCTGGGCTGTAAGTTGATCTAGATGTAATCTCTTATACAGTAAGCATGCAATCTGGTAACACGTCAGAGATACAGACCATCTCAGCTATCTCGAAGGGACTGAACAGAACAGTCCATGGTAAGAGATAAAGCAAGCCAACTTCTAGCTGAAAATGTGTATATGGCATTCCTCAGTCCAGAAAAAAACGCTTTTTTTTCAGTAACGGCTCTGTCAAAGAATAGGTATGTTGGTGGAAAGTGAATCCTCCAGCCTGATTTGTAGAAAACAGGGAGTGACCAAACTGTAAGACCCCAAACTATTTCAGGACGCATGTTCTGCTTGCTCTTGTTCACTGAGAGGTTCAGGTGTAACTGAGAATATGAAGTAAATGCAGCAAATGCTTTCTGTGAAAGGAAACATATAAAGAGGTACATGCATAAAAAGCAATAAATCCTCAATGGGCAGCGAATGGGAGCCTGTGTCAACCAATTCAGAGTCAAGAAAAATTAAGCCAACACATTTTTGCGTAACACAGGTCAGTTATGGTGACTCCCCACAGGAAACATGGCCACAAGATTCAAGAAGAGTGTGAGAATTATGAGGAAGATGATCTCACCTAACTTTAGGTATCAGTAATGCAGATAACAAGCTCAGAGCTCACTGCCTAGACTCCTCACATGATCAGTGGGGCAACACAATGTGCCATTCACATCATGGCAAAGAAACTTTGGAGAAGCCCAGGAGGACGGCACCCCAAGGGGCTGCCAGCAAGGCCAGGGGAGCACGGACAACCACCTCCCATGACTCCAGCAGCAGGAATACACCAAGAAAAACTCACACATCTGTGTGTAACACAGTTTAGAGGCCAGCAACACAGGATGAAGCCAGTATCCAAAGTCTCATACACCTTTCTAAATGACAGAGTTTTGGAAGTGTGTTCTTGGACTAGAGGGACCTCACAGTGGTGATGCCTTTTATTTCTAGTAAATCAGGCTGCATGTGCTTCTAGTGAAGCTGTAGTTATACCAAAGGTGGCTGGGAGCCACACAGGAATTACCCACACGAACACTGCTTAGCCTTTGGCACCTGTCACTTGAGCTGTGCAGGAATGGTAAAAAATCAACCGCTTCCCTGATAATCATCCTCCAAATAAGCTGCTGCAGGTATCTACAGTCTGTGTGTTTGTAAGAGCCCTCCTGACAGAACTGTTTGTACAGAAAACTGCCTGTCAGCGTTCGTCCATGTAAATCATCCATCCCCTATATGGCACTTGCCAAACTGGCAAGCAGGAATCTCCAGCAATGATTCAGCACCCAGGCACATCAAGCATTCAGAGTCAGAGATGCAGAATCAAGTCTGAAAATCAGGCCCCCGACTCCAGCACAAGCACAGGCGCGACCCGTGCGGGCGCTCCCTTTGCGCCCTCCTTCCCGCTTCTCACTTGGGCTCCCACCAGCCTGAAGCAGCAACACCTCGCCCCCCGCTTCTGCCTCCTGGGCAGGTCTTGTTCACGGGGCTGTCCGCCGAACAGCACCTGCTCCCGTCGCCTCCTGCCCGCAAAGAGGGGCTCGGGCAGCCGTTAGCCACGGGCAGCCCCGAGCTTTGGGGCTCTCCATGCCCCTCTTGCCCCACGGCTCAGCCCCCCCGAGCACGGGGGCTGTCGCTGCCCTTCCCCGCTCCCAGCCCGGGGCCAGTTCAGCTCACTGACCCGGCACCGGCCGGGGGGGCGGCGTGGGGACGGGAC